CATTTATTCAGCAGTATTTAATTGCTAACAATGAGGTCAAGTGTCCATTCAATAGAACAAATTTACTTTCTTTGCTTTTGAGCCAAGAAGTCAGTGTACTCGTGGTAGGGAGCCTTGACGAAGGTGTTCTCGGTCCACATGGTGGGGTCCAAGAAGCTGTAACTGTGGCCAATGGCAGCGAAGGTGGCCTTGACGAAGTTACCAAGAGTGCGGGTGGCACCACGGGAAGAGGTGTAGCAATCGGTGACACCAGCAAGTTGAAGAACCTTCTTGGGAGTAGGAGCAGCAACGAGACCGGTACCACGGGGAGCAGGGACCAAACGAGAGATGGAAGAACCGCACTTGCCAGTAAGCTTGCAAGGAACAGTGTGGGGCTCACCAAGGGAAGATCCCCAGTAACCGCGACGAACAGGGATGACAGCGAGCTTGGCAAGGATGATGGCACCACGGATGGCAGTGGCAACTTCCTTGGAGCACTTGACACCAAGACCAACGTGACCGTTACCGTCGCCGATAACGACGAAAGCCTTGAAACGGGTGCGCTGACCAGCACGGGTTTGCTTCTGGACAGGGGTGATCTTCATGACCTCGTCCTTGAGCTTAGGCAGGAAGTAATCAACAACTTGGTATTCCTTGATGGGAAGAGAGAAGAGATAGATTTCCTCGATGGTCTTGATCTTGCCGTCCTTGACGAGACGACCGAGCTTGGTAACGGGAACCCTAAGGTGAGGATTGCAAAAGTGAATTTAGAAATTGAGATTGAAAGAATTCACCATGACGGGATGGGATCTGGTTTATACGTACCACTCGTTCTTCTCTTCTTGACGACCACGGCCACGGGCACCACGGCCACCACGGCCACCACGACCACGACCACGTCCGAAACCACCACGTCCTATGTGAAAAAAAAAGAGACATAACTTTAGTTGACGCTATCATTATCGAGTGGGTACGGCGATGGTACTAACCACGACTATCGGCCGGTGCTTGATCAGCCATTTGCTAATTTGATAAGAGAAAATCGATAGTTAGACACATTGTTTTCGAAGTACAATGAAATTCAAGTATCGAATGCTGTAAAAATTGGACGGCATGGACGTACATAGATTATATTCTTTAAATGTGGAGAAAAAAAGAGGAAGAAAAAAAATTGTTAACCAGAAATCGCTTATTGGACTAGGCAAAGCAGTCACAAAACCTCAGTGGCTTTGATGAACAGTGGTCTCATGCCCACTCGATTGTTTGTCCATCCCATTGACCAGATGCTTGCTTGCTCGCTTCCCTTGTTTACCCCTTCGAAAATGTTATTTGCCTTATAAAAATGGGGCGAACATGAGCGGAACGATAGCCCAACTTTCTTTTTCTCTACCTTTTCCATGGAATTCACCTTCGTATCAACTTTACCACAAAATCCATTTACCTCGACTGTTAAGACATGTTCACCACTGGATCGTTCATATAACTACATGCACGATAGCCATCAATGGCTTTTCTTCCGAGAATCGAGATGGATACCGTTCGATGCGCATAACCAAGTTAAATTATTTGAAACTCTACAAATGAACGGCAAGTTTGTGGATTTGAAGGACTCTCATTTTCCAGGGGTTGAACGATTGAGAGTTTTTCCGGCGTCCAACTATGTTAGCTATCTAGGCACCCGATATAACCTTAGCCACATCCTACTCCCTCGCTTCTGATTAAGTTGACATTGACGCACCTACCACGTCAGCAAAGATAGCATGAGTGTGGTGCAATGTGATCACTTTAGTAATATGGAGGCAGTGGCACAAACATGCACCATTTTTATATTTGCGAGAATACAGTTACAGTAACAATTAATAAAAGAACCGTTGGAAATTTTTCTTTTCTGCCTTGTGACTTGATGACAGCCGGGTAGTATAGAAAAAATAAATAGAGAGAAGGAAATATACACTAGCAACAGAGTTGGCTACTGAAGAGTAGCTGATTCAGATTTTGAAAAGAGGAGGAGATTCTCATACACATCAATACACTTTAGAAAGTTCGTAGTCATCGCATTCGGATATACGTTCGTGTGCTCGATGATCGACCAATGTTGACGATGACGCAAAAGTTCGAATAGATGCAGGTGTAAGAGGTACAGGAGATGGTGGAGATGTATTCGAGTCTGTAAACATATTGTGATGCTTTTCGTGTATATCAATATGGGTATCTTGTGGCGCATTCAGAGTGGTAGTTGACAACTCTGAGGAGTTTGTGGGTATAGCCATCTCTTCTTCTACCAGCGAGAACTTGGGATTGATGGGAAATAGGAGACCATCACCTTTCATTTGTTGAGGCAAAGCCCAAAGCAACGCATTTGGGCCCAAGACGGATTTGATATTGTTGAGCTTGCCAGTGTTATAAGGGTGCTTTATCTGCACATATAAAAATAAACCGTATAGATGAGCACACAGCATATCAATTATATATAGTTGTGGGGGGGCAGCCTTACCTTTCTAATTTTGCCTTTGTATTTGACAGTAACGGTTTCACCTCTTTCCCAGCCTTCTATCGTAGTAGTATTGGTAGACAGACAATACGTATGGTAGCAACTCAATACAGCTACTGCGACCAGGATGGGAAGATCTAAGAGCAAGTCCAACCCCATGATCACCAGTCTGCTTAACACAATAGGTTGCTGAAAACGCACAAGTGGGGCATATTAGACCAAATGCAGGGTTGTAGACTAGCAAGCCATTTTCTTACCTCATGCATATTCTTTATCATGTCGGCGATAGAAAAAGCGAGAAGAGTAACGATGTACACGTTCGCAATGTTGACGTAAAATAGAAAACGGATAAAATGACCGTAATTTGCGTATCCAACGCAATTATTTATCCAGGGACAGTGATGATCCATTTTTAAGACGCATCTTTTGCAAGTGCTACAATGATGCGAGCGAGCTGATTTATAGTTATTGCACGTTCGACAGAACCGAGGCTTATAATTTGATCTCTTTACTTCGAAACTTGGTTGTTGAGCAGGGGGGACCTAACAAGTCGGAAAAGATTAGGCTTGAGCAAAGGAGGGGAAAATTTTTTAGCGTATCGGCTCACCCAATTGGTAGGTACAGCGCCTGGGTCGGTATTGCAAACCAAAGCATAATTAATCAATAGCAAAACGACGATGGCATTGAGAGGTACGAATACTGCCAAAGTGTAGGAGGAGTTTTGAAATAATTGCTGGTAACAAGTTATTTGAGCTGAGATGCCGATAAAGCCAATCAACGAAATGACGGTCGGGACGATCAATCGCCCTGGGAGGCAATCTTTAAGCATGGTTGATATCTAGTCGAATGTATTTAGCTTAACAAAATATAATTGATTTGGAGGGTTTAAAAAAGTTTAAAGAATGGCATAGGGGTAAGAGAATGAGTGTGAAAACAAGGAAAAAGGTGATTTTGACAACGAGCGAACTCAAGTTGAGTACAAATTGGCTGGCCTCACGCTAGAAATTTTGGGTAAGGAGGTGTTGGAAAAGGTAGCACAAACACCCACCTTCCAAACCGAAAATGACCATACCAGCTCGTGCACAATGGATAAAATTGACAAAAGTTTTTAATTTACAACTCTTCATGATACGCTGTGACGATTGTGCAATACTTATTGAACGATGCATTTCTGAGAAGGAAAACATAACCTTTTGACCAGATAATCGTTGATTATATCCCAGTGGAGCGATATTCAAGAAATTGGTCCAAGAGGTAGTGGGAGGATAACGCGCGCTGTAATTGATTATGACTGCAAAATGCGATTTGAACTAGTAGAAGCTTGTCAGACGAGCAAGCTCATTAAATTACCAACATCTGTTATTTTTTTACCTCAAGAAACAAAGACGCTCTCTTCAGAGAAGTCTAGATAGTGGAGATAATGACAAAGGTATTTCAAAAGACGACCTTGAGAGAAGTATGATTGGGTCGGCTTGAATTACATTAATCCACGTGCAATATCTCAACTGCTGTTTCACTCATCGGCAAGCACCAAAGGATTTGCACTGACGCACGTTCTCGAGGAATTTAAATGTATTTACTACAGCTTGATATGCAAACTAATATAAAGAAATGGATGGGAGTGAAAACGTGAGAACGCAACGAATTATCTGTAATCTCGAAAACAGCAATGGATAAACCGGAAAGAAGGATAAAGTGCAGAGGGAAGGCGTTTAAGGTGGTGGAAGGTTAATTGCACTTGTTGATGAGTTCAGATTTGGTTTATTTCACCGTAGTTAGCAGTGCCTTTTCCAAGATACAGGCACCTTCCTTGTATTTTTGGCTATCTTCAAAAGCCTTTATCTAGAAAGTTGATGCAACAGGTTCTTAGTATGCGTTCCAAGTAGCTGGCTTTGTTAGGGATCACTTACATAACGCCAACCAACTTCGGTATCGCATTGGCAACAGAATACAGTAGCGATAGTATGCTTTCCTGTAGTCATTTGTTTCTCTTTTTCTGGGCCTTCTGATACATTCACAACATATCGAAATAAATAAGCTTGACCGTGTTGACCTTGGAATTGCTGTCAGTAGTCGGGTGTTAGTACTTATTTTAACAGACGCCAGTGAACCCAAAACATTTACTTTGGAAATGAGACCATCACTATTTGCTAAATGAGAGCGACAATTTTGACATCCGTATACTTTGCGACCTTCAAGATATGTACGATACTTTAGACCCATTTTGCGAAAAAAATAGTCAACAGTATCACATTCTCTGGTAGGAAACAGGAAGCGGACAAGCAATTGAAAATACGGAGCGTTAATTGGGAAATCTGTGAGGTGTGGAAACTGGTTTGAGGCCAGTCACGTGTAGAGCGGAAAAGGGACAAGGCTGGCAATGGCCCAGTGTGAAAAATCCATATTGAACACACAATGCATTGTTATGCTCAAGAAAGAAAAACAATATCAAAGTGTGAGTAGCTGTTCCATGTTGGTTACTTATCGTGGTAATATCCAATACAATTCACATGCACACAGAGCTGACCTAGAGATGACCCTGTTGTTTGTAAATCAGCTACGGCATAATTTAAAAAGATACAAATGTAGGAGTCAAATAGTAACGATAGGACGGACGATACAGATGGTGGGTCAAACAATTTTGGGGTCCAAAAAAATAGCCGTGACTGGGCTAACAGTCTACTAGGTTATCTTTCCCTCATGTCGACCATCTCAGCCAGTGTCAGACTCACTGAACGGAACGATGCCGAGACCCGTCAACTACGTCAGTCTGCTGCTGATGCACTGCAAAGCTACAGTGTGTTAGCCTTACATTCCCTTGCTGACAATGAAGTAAGTTTTGTAAAAACCCGCCATTAGCTGCAACATGCTCATATCCTGACTCTGACACACGTTCACCAGCCTCCAGCCATGACCCGAATAAGAATGTTGCGGTACGTATCCTCACAATAACATTAAAAACTTACATCATGCTTATATTTCGTCTTTTCAACTTTGTTATGCTGGGTGTAACAGATATCTGACGGGGATACCGCAAACGTCCTTTTCAAGCAAACGAAGAGAGTCACTCAGACGATGATGCAATGTACAGTATCCGCCTGGCAGGCAGATCAATGCATTGTTTATTCTTTTACTTATTTTTGTCCAAAGTGGCTCCAAAAAGATAAAAAAAGATTTCAGGTGAAAAAAAATTTACGCTAGGAACCAAATCTGGTAGATTGGTTCGAAGGTTTCGGTGGCCTGGCAAGATTAATATTCATGCTGTTGTTTTTAGTGGCGATTGTAGCAGAACGGTGAATTTTCAACAGAGGTACCCACATCCCCTTTGCATAATGGCTCCCCACGTTGTAAATATATTGTAGATATTAACAGGGACCATAGGCACCTTCATCCCGAATAAAAGAGAGCGTGGAATTTCCATAGCTCTAGCTTGATTTTTCCAAAAAGGCGTCGACTATTTTGCAAATAGGGAAAGCAATACTTCTCACTTGACCGTAAAGGAGCAAGCCATGGTTTTGAGACACCATAAGAATTACGTGCCACAAGTGAAGTGACGCTGACCATCCCTCCTGTTCTTTTACATTTCTTATATTTTTTCAAATCTTTTTTTTTTCTTTTTGGTAGCTTTGGAAAAGCTGCAAACGTTCCTCTTTTCCAATACCCTTTACAAATCGTTCTTCTCCTTTCAACAACTCGCATTTTCCTAGAGTACAGAGTGGCACTATGGCGTCTTCATCACCTCCACCGCCTGTACCATCACATGGAATACCGGAAGCAACTTTGCATCCGTCTAATGAAATGGAGCTCAATGAGTCCGCTCAGCCTCCTCGTACCTTACAACGCAGTGATTCATCAACATCCCGAGTCCAACGTAAGAAGTCATTGGTTCGTCCAGAGCGTGAAAGAATAGATCCCAGCCACAGACAGTATCATTATCGACAAAGAGCAGCTGAGCATGCTTCTAGAGACGGACCATTTGCAGCGAGTACCACTGGCAATGCACCTATCTATACCGCAGGCTCGGAAGAAGGTATTTCGTCCGCTATTCAGCTCCAACAACAATACGCAACACCGCCCCCACCGCCTCCACCTCGACGTCGTTCTTTACGTGACCGTGTGGTTCCTGTACGACGAGGAAAAAGTATCTTAGGACGGGAGGACCCCGATAGCCATAAGGAGCGAAAGCAGCGATCACAGGCCACAGATGCTCAAGTCAACAACACTGCAGCTCCTCGGGTCGATCGTACACCTTCTGTCAACAAAGCCATGCATCATATGGAAAAAGATGTTGATTATAAGGAACCAAAGCAGTGGCCAAGCTGCTGGTACATGTACAGTTTGGTTGTTAGTATCTGGATACCAAATTTCATCTTGAGCACCTTTGGTAAGTTGCCTTATTTTTACATGACGTCTGTCTTCCCGTATTATTCCTTTTTTTTCTTCGGTGTTGCCAAACATTCGTCTTGGCAACAAGAGGTTTAAGCTTGGGGGTCATTCTTTGTACACCGGAAACTGAAGCCGAATTTTTTTTTTTATTCAATGTTGTTTTAGGAGTGAAAGAAAAGCCGCGACAGAGAGCGTTCCGAGAGAAGATCGGGTTACTGTCGATTATCTTGCTGATTTGTGGAGCTGTAGGCTTTTTGACGTTTGGATTCACTCAAACAGTATGTCCGAAGCCCCCGTTGCGTTTCCAAATTGGATATATCAACAACGGCTATCTGATCATCAATGGTTGGGCGTATCAACTAGCTACTTGGGAGCATCCGGCCATTCCAGGGCAAACAAACACTTCCACCAACCCACTTTATCCTCCTGTTAATGCCGGTGGCATGGATGCTTCGTTTTTGTTCCAAAACGTGAACCAGAAATGTCTCAATGTTATCACTCCAAAACCGGGTGTCAACATAGGGCAGTCAGGCAACATGGTTCCAACCTATTTTCCTTGTCGATTGTTTAACCCAAATGAAACCATCGCTCCCAGCTATACTACCTACTCAAATTATTCTGGATGCCATCTTACGGCAAATGAGCGCAATCAATATTACGATTTCGTTCATCTCGGTGTACCCAACAACAAAGGCAGCCGTGACAAAGGTGGACAGGTCTACTACACCTGGCAGGATTTGGCAGCAAAACCGAATTTAGTAGCTTTTAATGGGTAAGTAGTTGTTGTTGTCAGAAGAAGAGGCGCTTAAGTGGAAACTGTTTTTAGATTCCCATGCTAAGTTTTTATCCTTGGATAAACAGATATGTGCTGAATTTGAACCTATTACAATCTTTGCCACCAACTTTATTTGACACACCTGCCAATGGCTTAATCGAAACAATGCTTGCCTCGGTTGCTAACAAGACTTATTCAGGTCAAGATATTACCCGCATGGTGAATAGCAGAAGAGGAACCGGTAACTGGCCGAGAGAAGCGGAGTGTCTTGCAGACATCATTAAAGTTGGCTTCCTCGACACAGAGACCATTGGTTGTTTCGCATCTGATATCGTGCTATATTGTTCTTTGGTCGTCATTCTAGCTGTCATAGGAGTCAAGTTTGGTCTCGCTGTACTTTTTGGATGGTTCCTATCATGGAGACTGGGAAATTTTGGCGAAGAAAAATCCTATCGTGACCGCATGAAAAGAAATGCCGAAATAGAAGATTGGACAGAGGGAATTTACGAGCCCGCACGAGGTATTCGACCAAGAAATATGTCAAGTTTTAGTACTCAAGAAAAACGCAAATCATTTCTTCCACAAACCTCTCGGTTCACTCAGCCTGAGCCTATGATGTTCAGTGGGCGTCCATCATCAACGTATATGGCCGTAAGGTAAGCATCACGCGAGACGTTAGCATAATATATATCATGTGGTTTAATTTAAATCTCATGAACCCCCATAGTCCTGTGACTGCACGTCCTGGGTCTCCCCAGGCGACATCAATTCGAATGTCGATGTCCCCTCCACCAACCTCACCGAGCCCGCCCTTCTCGCCATCACCAAGGCTCTCACCATTACAATCACGCACAAGAGATAGCGTAGGTAGTATGATGGCTTTAATGCCATTGGGATCGAGCCAAGATTCAAATACTTCGGATTCATCAAGTCAAAATTTATCTGCATGCCCATTCCCACTCTCAAGATACGCCGTTCCTTTGCCATCACCGGACTATAAACCGTTTGGATTTCCTTTGATACCCACCATATGTTTGGTCACTTGTTATTCCGAAGGAGAGGAAGGACTTCGAACTACCATTGACTCCATTGCCACCACCGATTATCCGAACTCTCACAAAATCATTTTAGTCGTTTGCGATGGTGTCATCACTGGTGCAGGAAACAGCAAATCCACCCCTGACATCTGTGTTGGTATGATGCGGAATTTGCTGGTTCCCAAAGAGCAGACTGAACCGCTTTCGTACATTGCGGTGGCTGATGGCATTCACAAGCATAATATGGCCAAAGTGTTTGCCGGCTATTACAAGTACGATGATACAACCGTCGATCGACGAAAGCAGCAGCGTGTACCAATGATAACCATCGTAAAATGTGGCACACCAATAGAAGCGAATGATAAGAAACCTGGAAATCGTGGCAAGCGAGACTCGCAAGTTCTACTCATGAACTTTTTGCAAAAAGCCATGTTCGATGAACGAATGACAAATATGGAATACGAAATTTTCAACTCCTTTTGGCGACTCACCAACATCAGTGCTGACAAGTATGAGATTTGTCTCATGGTAGATGCCGATACCAAGATCTACCCAGACTCGCTATCGCGCATGGTATCCTGTATGGCGAAGGATCCGACCATCGCAGGACTATGCGGAGAAACGAAGATCGGAAACAAAACCGATAGCTGGGTAACGATGATCCAAGTGTTCGAGTACTATATTGCTCACCATCAATCCAAAGCGTTTGAGTCTGTATTTGGAGGAGTAACCTGTCTTCCTGGATGCTTCTGTATGTATCGAATCAAGGCTCCTAAAGGACCTAGTGGTTACTGGGTTCCGATTCTCGCCAATCCGGATATCATTGAACGATATCAAGAAAATGTTGTCGATACGCTTCACAAGAAAAATTTATTACTACTCGGTGAAGATAGATACCTCTCCACCTTAATGCTAAGCACGTTTCCCAACCGGAAAATGCTATTCTGTCCGCAGGCAGTATGTAAGACTGTGGTCCCTGATACATTCCGTATTCTACTGTCACAGCGTCGTCGATGGATTAACTCTACCGTACATAACCTAATGGAACTTGTCATGGTCCGTGATCTCTGCGGAACATTCTGCTTTTCCATGCAGTTTATTGTTTTCATGGAACTTGTCGGTACCGTCGCCTTACCTGCAGCCATCAGCTTTACCCTCTTCTTGATCATCAGAGCTATCATGGGTGCTCCTGCTGAAATTCCACTGATCCTATTAGCTTTGATTCTTGGACTTCCGGCCGTATTGATTGCCATGACGAGCCGAAAAGTCATTTATGTTGCATGGATGCTTAGTAAGTATATTGCGTTACAAAATATGTCAAGAAGCTGCCGTTTAGAAAAGTACTGATTCTTTTACTGCTTTACCAACTTATAGTCTACTTGCTTTCGCTACCAATATGGAACTTCTTATTACCTGTATGGGCATATTGGCACTTTGACGATTTCACCTGGGGAGAAACTCGAAGAGTTGTTGGAGCAGAAAAAGATACTCATCATGGTGATAAGTTTGGAGAGTTTGACAGCAGCCAGATTGCCATGAAACGTTGGTCTGAATTCGAAAGAGAACGACGGCTTAAGATGATATTCCAGCAGCAATCCGATTTTGCGAAAATTGATAAAGACGACGATATGCAAGCCTAAACATCCATTGACAAGCAAGAATGGCATCCGATCATTTAGAAAGAAGCAACTCAGTGGGCAGCCAAAGTGGAAGTCCAAAATTATCACAACAAACAAAAACAACAACGCTAATACCTTTAGTCAGTATTCTACATATTAAAATCATGTACATTGCATCACACTGCATAAAACCGATTTCAATCATCACTTGTAATTATGTAGCGAATATGTGAGACGTTAGCGTACATTTCAGTATTGAAGAATGGTTTTGAAAAAAAAAATGTGGTGAATCCGTTTCTGGATGGAAAATATGTAAGCAAAAAGAGACATGCATCAACGCTACTCTACTTACTATCAATCGGGCATCATCAAACTGCGTGATTGTTGACCCCATATAGACACGAATGTTGAAAAATAGATATCGAGGAAGTCACAGCTGATGACGATCCATCTCCAGAGGAGTATAAACCGGGTTTGCGAGTCGTCTTGCGTACCTCAACGAGCTATTTCTACTATGCTTCACAACAAGGGAGCGCCATCCAACCCAAGTGGTGGAAGTGAAAGGAATCCATTGTTAAGTCTACTACTGTAAATAAGAATCAAACTACTAAACAATGTGGTGCGTGAGCGACGAGAAAACATACTCAGAACCAAGAAAGTGCGATACGCCTCTTTGGCTTGAATGTGCTTGTACCACCACCTGGCGTTTTTTTGTATTATTCCGACCGAACCGCGCAGCCTTTAGTTATAAATATACGAAGGAGACTTTGAGTCTGAGGTCTTCTTCTTACGATACCCTATGATGGTCATGAATCTGGTTACCGCGTTTCTAATACACATGGTTGTCGTCTTCAAGTTGGTTCGCGCCGGCATCCTTGATATACCTCCGGCCAATACAGTCCCAACGCCGATCAGCTTCTCCAACTACACCGTTGAATGGAAAGACTTGGATATCATATTAGAGAATGCTGAATATTATCGACGATTTCAGTACCATTTGAGCCAGTCAAACGATACTCGCCCTCGTACAAATGCACCCCATGCTGTTTACGATAGATTGAAATCGCTTGCCGACCAGGCACTTGTAAAACCTCTATACACCGTTACTAGCAAGCCATTCCTTCCACCGTCCGGCGATAAAAGAGACTTGTAGGTTGACTCCTTTTCAAATTTGTGCTTGGCATTCATTGAAAATTTCGTCCCAGGATCACCTATGCTCCTTACTGGTGGCCTGCACCAGACTGTAACGCTAATGATAATACCAACGACTGTCCCTACATTCGGATAGACGGCAAAGTCAATCCAGATGTTTACAAGCTGGATGATCAAAGGCACTTGGAGTCAGTAACGTTGGATAGTGAAATCTTGGCGATGGCCAGTGTGGTCTTCGATGATGACGTTTATTCTCAGAAGGCAGCGGATATGCTTCGATACTTCTTCTTAAATGAAGGTGAGAGCTCTGAGAATATGATGAAAGTAGAACGACCTGAATGTATATTCACGTGTAAACATGCACTTTGTAAAGAGACCAAAATGAATCCAAATTTCGAGTATAGTCAAATTATTCGTGGTAACGGTAAAACAGCCTCGCACACTGGTCGCTCTACTGGTGTTATCATTGCAAGATGTTTGGTTGGACCCATTCGCGCTATCAAATTTTTGCAACTTCGCAATTCTTACGCGTGGAGCCATAGCGACACAGCAGGCATGATCAGTTGGTATAAATTATAGTGAAATTACCGGTGTTCAGTGGACAATAGCTTTTGTATGTTTACCTATGCTCAACAACAGGTACAAAGAATTGCACAATTGGATGATTCATGATACGGTACGTGCTTCTGGGCGAGGAGGTAGAGATGGTTTTACTTGAGTAATGGTACTATTTATATTGCGGGAATGCCTTATCCATCATCATGGCCAGCTCACCTTATCAACACAAATGTTTCAGCTTCCCATCCAAGAGAGTAAATCCAAAAACAACCATCTGACTTATTTTATCACGACTTTGATCACCATCAGCGATTTCATTGGAGACTTCCGCACAATTGAAGACAGAGTCAACACTTTCTTCGCATACAGTCTGGCTGAACAGATTAAGGTCGATGGAGTTCAACCTATAGAAGAAGGTCGTACTTTGCCATATCATTACACTACCTTCAATCTCGATGGTTTGGTTTACCTGGCCGCGTTTGTATCACGAAGTGATCCTCCACTCATAGAAAATGCTTGGAATCGTACTGGAAGTTCTATTGTTCGAGCCGTTAACCGACTCATAGATGTTGCACGAGGAAATGAAGGGCGAATTGAGCCAGGTGCAGATTTGTCTGATGCTGATATCGCTGTTAGAGCAGTCGGCATGAGATATCCAGAACTGTACTGTGGAAAATACCACGCTAACCAGCACCGTAATGACCCTTATCTTAATCTTTGGCCGCTTTGGACTCCTCGTCAACTGTGGTACTGCTTTCAATAGCTCACAAATTGGTCGACCACCTCGCATTGATCTAATAGATATACCTCGGTGCGATAATCTTAATCAGGCGTTGTTTACAAGAACATCATATCATTTTACACGTTGAATACTTGGGCATTGCTTAGTGAGCTGTACTATGCATATCTTCCTTGGATGATAATGCTGAACGTCCTCCAATGCCAGCCAATTAGATGAACAGTATGTACAGACAATATTGTAATATTAGTAGAAATGGTAACAAATAAAGCCAAACGGTATAGATATTTTTACACTCTTCATCTATAACCCCAGCAAAGCAGGTTGATATCACACCAAAGTCTCTGTTACTTCTCAGTGTAGCCGCCACGCCGGATAAAATTGCGTAATACTAGGCTTCCTATGCTGGCTGTGTCTCCTCAAGTTGGTTTCACAGCAAAGCAAACTGGCAGGTTGAGTTTTTCTTCACTCATTAAGCAGGAGTCAATACCGTGTGGTCTACCAATTATAGAGTATAGCAACTTTGCGCGCGCTGTTTGTTTGCTTAAAGCTAATGTTGCAAATTCAGGCATCGTGCACAGGATATGACTACAATTCTGAGTGTTCAACAGCACTCTTACAAGCGAGTTCGTTATGGTAATAGTATCAAAGATAGCAGTATGGTGTTCCCGGGTACAATTCGGTATTAGAAACTCTACTGCTCGCATAGAAATAATGGTCAATCAACAAGTACAGCCTTAGAATAACTTCAAAAGGCAGTGACAGCTCCGTTATACTATACGTATAGACCATAAAATCTTGTTTAATCCGAAATCCGTAGGCTTGTAGTGCCTTCCAAAGACCGGGCACCTTTCGGTGAGCTCATTACTAGCAGACTGTGGCGCCTCCGCGATCGTGCGACACTGTGGGGAAATGGGTGGGAGTAATTTGCCTTGAACAGTTACCAGGATAATTAAGATTCTTGAGTAACAGAGTTCAATTTCACTCCATACTAATTTGTCTGCAAACCTGCATTATGCTTCGCTTTCATAAGTGTGCTAGAGTTATAATCACTACAATAGATGAAGCTCGTACATAGATGGTATGAGCAATCGCTGTCATAGCTAGTCACCTTGATGAGATTTGATGTTCAAAGAATGAGCTTCATAAAGGTTGTTTCATGCAAGTCACGGAGTGACCGATTCAGATCTCCATTTTTGAGTTAAATTTCGCTGTGAACAGACGAAATATCAAGAAGAATGAAAGAAAGCCGCCGGCAATGTCGTTGGGAAGCCTCCCACCAGCCTGAGCAGAAATGGAAAATGTGCCTTTCTTAGTTAAGGCTTGGTGAACAAGGAAAAAATACCGGAACCCCACTTTTTCAGATCGCTTTGTACGACTTTCCAGCTGTTGCTTTACAAGGGCATTGGTTACAAGGGTACATCTGTCATATATAAAAGATTGGAAATCGCTGATCCTTTCACATACAATAATACTAGAACAGCATGAAATTTATTCCTACCTTTCTGGCTCTCTCCGCTGCGGTTGCCCACTTGGCTCAGGCTGATCTGATCGCGCCAGCATTGACTCCTGTGGTGCCAACTCCCATTAGTTTCTCCAACTACACTTTAGAATGGAAGAGCCTGTCAACTATCGTAGAAAACGCTGCCATCTATCGTGTCTTCCATGCAAAAAATAAGGGTTCCAGTCATGGTAAACTTAGCGTACCACATCCAGTGTACCAAACGTTGAAGGATCTGGCGGACGAAGCAGTTGCAAAGCCTTTATACACCATTGTCAATAAGCCCTTCCTCCCTCCTTCTGGTGACAAGCGAGACTGGTAGGTATATCTAAGGTAGCGTTTAATTCATAAATCGGCCACTAAGTATCTTTCTCAAGGCTATCGTACGCCCCTTACTGGTGGCCGTCTCCATCTTGCAATGCCACTGACAAGAACAACGACTGTGCATTCATTCAAATGGATGGTCAAGTCAATCCGGATGTGTATAAGCTGAACGATCAACGATACTTGGAGTATGTCAGTCTCGACACTGAGACACTCGCTATGGCCAGCTTGGTGTTCGACGACGACTCATATGGTCAGAAAGCGACAGATATGCTTCGGTACTTCTTTTTGAATAATGGTGAGTGCTTATTTGGCTAGGAAGAATGGAGATTATGTACATATGAATGTGGGAGTCAATTGACTAACTTGACTACAGCAACCAGAATGAACCCCAACCTCGAGTATGGCCAAATCATTCGTGGTAACGGTAAATCAGCAACCCATATAGGTCGTGCTGAGGGTATCATCAGTGCTAGAGCATTGGTGAGTCCCATCAGAGCTGTCAAGATACTCCAGCTTGCTAAAGCCCGTGCATGGAAGAAGAATGACACCGCTGGCATGGTTGACTGGTAAGCATCAGTATACTGAATTTTGGTGATTACGGTTTCAAGCTAATACAATTTTCACCAGGTATTCACAATTCCATGACTGGTTGATTGAAGACAAGGTTCGTATCTCCGTTGCGGAAGCGGAATTCGCCATTACTTAGCTTTAATTTGCCAAACCTTTATTCTAACCATGCTTACATCTCCACACTATGATATCAATGCATTTCCATTAGATCGCCGTTGATGAAAGCAACACCAAGAACAATCACTTGACTTACTATACCAATACATTGACTACCATTAGTGACTTCATTGGAAACTATAGCACTATTGAGAGTAGAGTCACTGCCTTTTTCAAGGATGACTTGCCCGGACAAATCACGGCAAACGGAACTCAACCATTGGAAGAAATTCGAACATTGCCATTCCATTATTCTGCCTTCAACTTGGAAGCCTTGACTTATATGGCCAATTTCGTGTCTCAGAAAGATCCTCTCAGTCATGGTCCATATATCTCTAATGCTTGGAACCAAACAGGCGATTCTATCATCTCTGCTGTGAATCGATTGATCGATGTTGTACGAGGTACTGAAGGACAAATTGAACCTGGAGCAGATTTAAGCGAGGCCGATTACTCTGTTCGAGCAGTTGGTATTCAATACCCAAAGCTGTACTGTAACAAATACCATGCCATTCAGAATCATACTGTGCCTTATCTTAACCTTTGGCCACTCTGGACGCCTCGTCTACTTTGGGATTGCTTCAACTAATCTCATGTAACTGAATGACTGCATTGCTCTGGCAGGAACAGAAAACAATATCGGAGGTCTTCATATGTATTCAAATAATTTATGTTCAATAAAAAAAAATCCGTGCTTGATAGCGCGAGTGCATCAAAATGTTTCTGGAACCAGTCACTATGACCTATAGCTTTACCATATTCGGCATTACCGCATTTGCAGGATCCCTCAATCACTTCTTTTTTGCATACTCTTCAATATACCGACAAATTCCAGTGAAAGCGCGAACTTTTGCAGTCATTGTGGCCTTTGTAAATACCTAATACTTCCCATATGATGACGGATACCCTTCATGTGAGTCTACCTGGGAACATACATATCTTACTCTGTACAGTGCTTATTCTCCTAATTCACACATGCTTCATTGTCATATCTAGATTGCGCATGCGGACAGGGCATCAACAGCTTCTAAGACTCCTTCACTCAGTATACAGCGACAAAATGGTGCCCCATCCTTACAGTCTGGAATGTCACGGACTCCCGAGCCTTCCATTATTGACAATCTTCGCTTAAATGAAGCAATGACTGTCTCCTCCAGCAGCAGTTCCGAACAATACGACGACGAATATGAGTATGACGTTTTATATGAATGTCAGAGAGGGTAGGAAAAGCGCCATTGAATGAAGCCCGACTTGATTAGACTGGTCATTTACTGTTTTTTTCCATTCAGATCATGGACGTTTGGTTACAGCTCCAAAAGGTATTTATGGATCTATGTAGTTGTGTTCAATGCAAACCACATTCACTAATATAAAAATCTTTCATAGTCTTCTACAATTCGATCCAAGTCCTTGGTGTGATCGTAATATGAAGTAACTTGTTTGTTCATTGCAATCCTCTGGACAGGTACAAAGCAACATGTGCTTACTCTTCATTTTACCCTTTAGATATACTCCTATGGACATCCATACGTATGCACTCCCTAATCCAATGTGGCAATGGGTAAGTGTCCTTTTCAATCATCAGAACTCACTTTTGTTGCGGATCAGGAAGAACCAAACAAGCCATTGACTTTTTTTTGTCTACCAGGTGAACAAAGACTGGTTAGCGGATATGACTGGAGATGTCGATGAATCAGGATGGGAATACGCTTTTCGATTCCATGGATCAACATGGCATGGTGAGCTATCAAAAAATCAACTCTAGCTGCAAACATCATCGTGTAGCTTATTGCTGAACATTGTTTAGGCAACTACAAGCATTTTCGGTCATTTGCACGACGACGAAAATGGATCCGATTGAGAAGACGAAGAATGATAGAGGATGATAAATCATACCACAGTAACGATGCTGTTTCCATCCACACAGCTTCCATACCCGAAAATGAAGAGTCAGCCCAAGGAATTGAAGAAAGAGAGAACAAGCTATACGAACGCCTTAAAAAATGTCGTTTGGATCGTGAACGCCTAAAAGTTGTAGACGATATCTTGCAAGAGAATGATACCCAACTGGAAATGATCCAGGCGAAGGTGAATAAGCCGTTAATTGGAGAGAGATTGAAAGTAATATGCTTAACGTTGACACTCTTTTTCAGATGAACGACTACATGCAATTATTTGATTTTGAAGATTCCCGTCGCAAATTTGCACTGGTAAGTTGCTCTCTATCATTACAACTCTTTTGCTTGCTCATGATGCGAACTTTCGTTGCTATTTAGCTTTTGCTCAGCAAACAAACATCAAATCAAACCACATCGCAAAGTCGTACTGTGAAATTATCCGAAGGAGAGGAGGAGGCGTTAGGCTCGGTGGGCTTTTATTCCAATGTCAAGGCGATCAGCAACCAGCTTTCCGATAAGTATAAAGACAAAGGAAAAGAAAAAGCATGAGTGATACATAGGCGTAGTACTGTACAAAAGTTGGATTAAGAACAAAACAAACGAGTGTTTCGTAACGGAATCAATGTAAAGGCAAAATAAACGAGCTGGACAATTCGATATTACTAGAAGCAAATAGCGCTTATTGAGTCTGTTTGCGAGGGACCAAGTCACTCCTCCATGGGGTCGTCTTTTGTTGAATCTGGCTTGCTTTCTGGAGTAGCACCACCGTCTGAGCCAGATTTATCGGCACCAACCGACGCTCTCAAGAACTGCAGAACCGCAGGAGGGGTTATACCGTACTGGCCATCAAAGTTCTTGTGCGACTTTTCTAGGAGACCGTGATATGCGTCATAAAACTCTTTGTTGCTCTAAAAAAGGTATCAGTGTGTTAGTTTCCAATTGCACTTATCGCATTCAGCCCATCAGCACCTCTTACCTTTGCGCTGGCAAGATCAAGCTGGCTGCATGTGGTGTTAGCCCAACTTTCAATGATGGTAATTTGATCGCCAAGAGAGTTAGCCATCTTGGGCTCATAATAGTCACTAAACATTTGAATGATCTGCAAATGAACTGAGGTATCCCATGAAGCTGAGGCCAGCAAGAAGTTGTCCATTATGATCGACCGCCAGCGGCTATTGAGCACACATTTTCCAAGGTGATGGCGAATTAATAAATTGATAAATGTCGTGTAAAAACTCTGGTAGGTGTAGGTATGCAAAACGTTTTCATCCGAGGTTGGTAAAGACGCCGTGATATGTTTAAGACATCGAGCAAGAGAGTGAATGTCGCCCTCAATTGTACGTTCCAAGACATATTGGCAAAATACATCACGGGCGATTTCGTCGTTGGGAAGCATGGCATCAATTACTTGAGCATCTTTGGATTCCATATCTCGATCGGTATCAATGCCAGCTTCTGTGTCATATTGTTCTTCCAAGATAAGTGACCCAATGGTATTCCAAAGCTGGGAATATACCTCCCGATCCATCTTTGGTGGTTTATATTTCCCTGACATAGCAATGTTATGTGCATGATGGCCGAGGTTTAGCATTCTAGCTGCCCATTGCCATTGTTCTTCCAAATTTTGCGGTGCCTGGCCGACCCATGAGGTTTAGTGAAATTGTCAAGGTGGCTTTCCACACGTTTTGAACCGACTTACGTTCTCATCTACACTCATACGAATCCATTTGACGATGAATTTGGATAACAATTCAGTTGTAGCAGGGTCCATCAAAATCAAGGCGAAGTCTCTACAAAAGTGAAAATAAGAGAATACCAGTTAGTTCAATCCTTATTGAAATGCGGAGATGGTCTTCAAGATCACCTTTAACCATGGAGATGGATACTTACGCATAAAGCTTAGGCTCCCGTTTTGCATCATCAAAACATTCACGAATCTTGTTGATTCGAGCTGTGTCCAAGGATTGATTCCGAATGCAGGTATTGAGTGTCCATGTAAGTTTGTGGCATGGGTCTCTATCGTATATCTAGACAATTGGAAATTAGTTTGAGCAATGATTTGTGAAGTCCTATCTAAAGTAGACAATGTACTAACCTCTCGTACATCATCCTCATGTAGTCGCATAAGTACATCAAATTTGAGAGTGGACAGGATGGGATGTGGGGTTGATAAGAAGACAATTCTGATCATTTCTGTAAACATCGTGTACAACTTCACGTCTCTACCAATGATCTCGATCAACTGCTGCACAACGGGATGTTGCCGACTGAGAAAATGATAAATGAGTTAAGTACTCGGCACTACATGCGTTTACTAACATGTTTTCTTACGGCTTACCGCTCTTTTAGGACCTCAGATACCCGCTCTGGTTTTGAATTTCTCAGCATCAATTGCAACTTAGTGTCGTGGTGGTAAGTATTGAAGTATCGTAACAGATGTGTTTGAAAGAAAGCTTCATCCGATTTCCATATGCGTCGCTTGACACTCATAGGGCATTGCTATCATTGCCAGGTAAAATGATAGGTGAGAAAAGAACGGAAAACAATTGGTAATGACAGGGTGGGGGACACCTACTTCAAACAAAGCTGGATCCTCCTTCAGCATCTTTAAAACATCATCATTGACATCGTCAGGATAGCGCTCCAATAAAGCCATAGGTATTGGTTGGAGTTGCGGAACCATTATGTGTGGCAGGGTTTGGTTTAACAGTTTGTGGAATCTGTTGAATGCGGAAATGGCTAGTTGTGAGTAAAACGAGGCATGACAGATAGAATAGGAGGGACATTAACAATGCATACTGCTCGACAGAGAACTCCGGGTCGTTTATCTTGGCCAAAATGTTGCTTGTGATGGCACTTAGACACGCTTTGTGAACGTCGTGTCGTGTAAATCCTTGAAAGTCAAGCAGTGGGTACACGGCGCCGACATTGGGCAGATCCAGACCATGCTTAGACTGTACTTCGCTAATAACAGTCAGAGGATCATGCTGCGATAAGAGCGTCCTAATGTACTCTGACGATTTGTCCATGACGTTCAAAGAAAAAGCGAAGGTAAGATTCTTTACTGCAAGGCCGGCTTCCTTCAGGAGATTTCGCAGTCACCCAAAGCGCGCTCTCTCTATTGTTAAAGACGTGTCTGAATATCAGAATGGCTCATTCCGAAGGCCACATACTAGCTGACCACTTTTTTGTATGTCTCTAGATACAATTATTCTATTTACTTGCACATAAACATCAACGACACCAGTATTATAGACTGTAAGGCAATAACAATGCTATCATTTTCATTTGCAAAATTTAAAAACCCTTTTTTTTATTCATTCAGCGAGCTTCGCGCATAACAAAAAGCTAAATAGAACCCGGAGTCATGTTTGCTATTCCTTGCCATAGCTACTTACCTTTACTCTAACAGAAGATCGTATTGCCTTAAGCCATCTAACACCTAAAGGAGGGTAATAGTTTAGTGTATGCTTAGATAAAGCTTATGGAGATATCTCAATGATATAAACAGAGTACGGCACAGGATTGCTCCGTACAAAGTGTAAGTACATTGAAGGTGAGTCTTCCGTAGCATTAAAAGTCATCGAATCGATGGAGAAGCAATTCGGAACCAGTTATAACTACGGTTTGGGTATGGAGGGTAGGTGGGGGTCAAGATGATTGAGGAAACGTACCATTTATGTATATATGCAGTTGTAAATGAATACTGTACACGAATAACGACAGATGAGATGTATTGACTAAAGGATGTATAAGTTGGAAGGAAGTGGATGAATGGATGGATGGATGGATGGATGAATGAAATAGGAAGAGCAAAATTTCCAAAGAAAAGTACATTCCGCGTTTGAGCGGCGATTAAAACGAGTATTCAGTGCTGCCTTTCAATCGGTTGCGCCGCCAATATCCTCTTGATCCTCATCTTTTGATAGCTCATAGCTCAGAGCAGCAAACCCAATCAATATACAAACGCTTCCAGCTATGGTGGAAGCAGGAACCATGACACCAGTGACGAAGACGTCGGCGACGGCCACAGCTGGTATGGTTAACATGATACCGACTGCAGCAAAAACGGGGTTAGTCAAGGCGATAAGGCACATGAAACCAGCATTGTACATGACTCCAGTCAGAGCAATTGCAAAGATATAGCCAAGCGTAGTCCATGATGGTAGTTGAAATATCTCGTAACCGCTGAAATGCAAAATAGGAATGGGTACCCAAAGAATGAACAGAGAAGTGACGCCAATCAAGCCTGTGACTACGTTTGCAAATAGCACAGTAGCTTTGACTGGAGAAGCGTACTGCTTGTAAAAGACTTCATAGTATCCGTACGCAACTGCTCCAGCTACAGCCAATGGAATCCCTAATGGATTATGTCGATTGTCGGTATCTTCGCTACTCCACAATGCCATGATCAAAACGCCGAAAACGCAGAGTATGACCGCGAGAACCTTTTGCGTCACAATCCTTTCACCCAACAGCAAGATAGAGAAGAGATATGCCCAAAAACAAGCGGTGTTGTATACGGCAGTTAAATTGGCCATCGAAATGAGGTTGACGGTAATGTACCACAAGTAAGCTGGAACAGTGATCATGATGGCCAGTGCAACAGAGATCTTGACTAAATAGCTAGCTTGCTGTGAGCTCATACGTAACGTCTTTATGAGCTGATCTTCCGAAGCGTCTTCCAGTGAAGCTGTTTGATAGTCGTCGGATCGTACATGGCGCACCAGCTCGGCGAGAGAGACCTTAAAGTCAGCGTACGCTAAATGGAACACCTCAACACATTGGTTCTTTATTCCGGTCGATTGCAGCGACTTGAATCTCTTCATGTATTCGGTGATGAACTGCAGAGGTAGCATCAACATATAAGATGAGTGTCCAATATACCTTTAAACAAAGAAACAATGAGGTAAGTCTTTGATCTGGGTTCCATACTTAGTATATTCGTAAACTTTACAACGAGAATACCGCCACTTACAATATAAAGTATGGTTTCTGGAAATCGCTTGTCTGCTGTACAAACTGAGCCAGCTCAGACTGAATGACAAACGATGCGATGCAGATGCACAACATCCCTACCGCTACCAAGGACCGGGAGTGCACCGGCGCCCGTCGTGGCGGATCGTCTGGGTCCATACTTGGAGATTGTGTTGTGGATGGAGGTATAGCATCATACGACAAGTTACGCATCGAGAAATCGTCAGGAGAGTTGATGGATGTCATGAATGGAGATATATATATGACCGCCAATTCAAAACCCGCCAATAAATCTGCTTTACCAATCTGAAATTTTCACCCACAACAAATAAGTTACTGGAAGCCGGGAATTTACCAGTTTACAACAAAACAGGTTCATCCTTGCCTCCCTGAAAATATTACGTTTGGGCCAAATAGCGGCAACATGGTGGGTTTACATCCTTTGTTTTACAGGTACCGAAAGTCAAGCTTACAAAAGTGCGTCATACTGCCGGAAATGATTATCATTGTTCGCGTGACAAGCCTCACGGCATGCTGTTCTGTCAGTCATTGTTGTGACATTATACGACCTAATAGATAAGATCAGATGCTCCATGGGACATGTTATCGATCTTGTTTTTTTATTTTTTTTCCCTTGAAACGACCCGTTGCCATCGATTGGAAACCGGGGAGTTGGGTGGCAAGAGTGGGAATGATTTTTGTTTTGGCTTTCAAGCCACTTGATGGCATCGGGACAAGCGCCTCACCTTATGTTCGGGACATCGTTACCGTGTCCCTTTGGCGAACGGCTAAAGTACAATGCACCAGCTCCTCTCACTCAGCTTTAATGTGGGGGAAATTTGCGTCCGACAGCAATAAGCGGGAAAGAGAGGTTTTGTCTAAGACTGCTATTTGATCTCTTCGGGACCACCGGGAACTTTATACTTGCCACATAAGACTGTCAGGAATCTCGCCAACGTTCATCAACCCACCTTTATAATTATGGCTAAGGTAATATTCAATAACTGAAGGGATCAAAGCGAATTGCTGGCCCTGCATGCAGCCATACAAAGCACGAGTGTTAACCTCGAAGTTCTGAATTCAGAAAGTGTCGCAAACCGAACTTCAAGTCTCTGAGCTTTCTTTTGGTGCTGGCGCACTATCAGGCGTTTATGACAAAATCGAGGAGGGATGGCCGCTGCAAGCATGTCAAGCTGCACTTCGAAACGGTAAGTTTAATTTCAAATCGCATACGTGGACTGAACCGACGGAGACGCGTATAAGGACTCTATACATCAGACGTGGAGATGTTTAGGCTTTGTGTATGTCATGGGAACATATCGATCTATAGAATATACCATTAAACCCTTCCTTCCTTTTTGGAAAACATGTAGGCATCAATCTTTTCGATACTTCTCCATATTATGGTCGTAGCGAGTATATCCTAGGTGATGCCCTTGACGGGTTGAAGGAGGAGTTTCCACGATCTTCTTATTACATTGCTACGAAGTGTGGTCGGTACGGATATACCACCAAAGAGTTCGACTATTCAGCGGCAAGAACACGCGAATCAGTACAAGAAAGCTTGAAAAGAATGAAAACTTCTTACCTCGATATTGTATATTGTCACGATGTTGAGTTTGTTCCATTCGAGAACGTCGTTGGTGAAGGTGGTGCTCTCGAAGCGCTCTACGACCTCAAAAGCCAAGGCATTGTTAAGTACGTTGGTTGCTCTGGATATCCACTCTCTGTGCTGCTGAAAATTGCCGAGCACCAACATCAAAAGGGACAGCCGCTGGATGCGATCTTATCCTACTGCCATTATACACTTCAAAACACCAGCCTGGCAGACTATGCACCACGTTTCCGAGCAGCTGGTGTAAAACATTTGCTCAACGCCAGTCCTTTGGGTATGGCTATGTTCCGAAGTGCTGGTCCTCCTGACTGGCATCCCGCCCACGCAGAGTTGCGCAAAGCTGCACGCCAGTGTGCTGTCATTGCAGAGGAACACGGCCTGAACATTGCTGAATTAGCTAGTACTTTCTCGTTCAGTGGCCGTGATCAATTTGGTCTCGATACAACAGTTATTGGCTTGGAAAAAGCTGAAGAAGTCGAGCGAGCCATGGATGCATGGAAAGTAGTCAAGGAAAGAGAAGCCGGAACCAAAGCTGTTCCCCAAGCTGAAATCGACGCCTTAAAAAAGATCCACGAAGTTTTGGCTCCCTACAAGAATTATGCATGGCAGAGTCCCAGTGCTAAAGAAATGGCATGATTTGCTTATACTAAACGTCTTGTGCACGTCAATAATGCCACATTGCTAGCTACAAATAAATCCATCTATTCAGGCCATTGCCTTTCTCATCAAAATGACTTTTGGATAATTTTTTAATAGAAGCTTTTATTTGGACAAAAACCTACGCACCATAGCCCCTGATCGATTCGGCAAATGACCACTCCGTTTCAACACTGTATGGCTCAGTAATTTCGAAACCTTCTGCTGTGATTTTCGCTCTTTGCAGCTGTATTGAACACATAAATCAGCCATCGTACAAACAACAAAAGGCTGTATTTGATTATATATAACTCATAACATACCTTGTTAATTGACCGTGCGTCTCTGTAGAACAAAACTCTCATACAGTCATCGATGATCTTGATAGCCTCTTCTTCAGTCAACGTGTCCTCTCTTCCTTCAACTGCTTTTCTCAGGATAGGCTGTGCAAGATGACCTCCGAAACCGGTGGCAATTGTAGAGTTCTGGTATGTAGTTCCTTTCAAATCAACGTAGCCAAGGAATCTGTGGATGCATTAGTTATCATCCTACCGACAATTGCGTAAAACTCGAGTAACTTACCGTTCTCCTTTGTGAACACCACCAACAACAAGCGCATTCCACAGTGGGTTGAATTTGGATCGTCGGTTATACATGACTCGGAATAAGTATTCGTAGATATGCGGGGTACCGAGGGTATGTCCATCATCCTCGCAATGCTGATCAATCCTATAGGTCAGTTGAAAAAAAGGCACACATTAGGTTGGAAACGTTGCGAAAAAAAGTCTATAAAAGATGCAAGCGCCTTACATGACATTTTGAAGCATGTGCTGGATGTACTGGTAATCTGAAATATCGCCTGATGCACCAATAATGGTGTGCTCGCCAACTGGGTGCAATCGTTCAATGTCTCGGAAACGGGCGAGCGAACCATATGATGCTGTGACAAAAGAACGCATTAGAGTGAGTAGTTGGCATTTCATAAGCGGTGACTTATCAAAACTTACCCAAGTTATCAGCAGCCATCATGATACCATCCTTGTATTTGAGAGCAATAACAGACGTTCCGGTAACGACAGGCTGTCTATGAAAGCAATAAGTCAGTGCATGTCAGGTACGCTTAGGACAGCAATGGTTTCCGAGTAGGTGAGATTAGCTTTTGGCAAGCCAAGTGTTGAATTGAACAAAGGTGAACAAAGCAATGGGCGCAGTGTTCCAATTTGAATGGTGTCGTTACCCGCACCGAGTGAAGAATACTTACTGAGTTCTAGTCATTGGGCCAGCGGCAGCATGGCTTTGTGGCATATTGTTATAAAGTGGAACGGTGTTGTATTCGTCAACATTCTCTTGACGGGGTTTTCCCCACTGCGATGGAAAGTGATTCATGTCGTGTATAAAACGGTTGAAGGATCGATTTAAAGAAGGAGGTTATAGGCCACAGAGCTTTTCGATATGACCAGATGTCGCGAGCTTTGGAGTTCCGCGTCATCAGCTTGACGCGTATTTGTGAGGTCAGCACGAAGTGATTTTATGATAAAAATCAATTCTTATAAATTTACGGCCATGATCTATCGTTCCATCGCCTTGATACTACAGTATGTTAAAACAATGACAATGGCATCAGCTTGAACTTTATCACATACTGTTTATTAACAATTATTTTGCGCCAATACAATAATAAATTAAGATCACGATATCAGAGCAGAGAGCCTGAAAATTTATTCTCATTAGTAACTTAAGCATGGCAGGAGAAACAGAATCAAACATGTATACTCACAGATAAGATAGGGGGATATAGGTGTTTTTGAAAGGCAATCGTCAGAAAATGAATGAAATGCAAAACATAAAAACTACATTTACCCTCCCCCGAAGGATCATCGGTATTCCTGGCCTAACCAGGGTGCCCGGCGCCGCGTCCTGTTCAGACGGGCGGGGCGAGTAAATTCCTTTGAGAGAAAACAGGATTAGTGCTGTGAAATATCTGAAATTCTGATAGGAAGTTAAAACTTACGTGGTGATATTACG